ACTAGGTGATCTAAAATATATAGAATGCCTAGGATTGTCTAGTGATTTCTCATTTGTGGGTGCTAAATTTAAGGGAATTCATTTTTTAAACTATAAAGAGGTGTACTTTAATCAGTATCAGTCCATAATTACAATATTTATGATACACATAGAGAGAGAGAAAAAAAATATTTGCATATGTGAACCATTACTGGATTATGGCTACACTATAACACACACTTGTAAAATAACGATTACAAATAAACAACCATAGCTATGGCAAGCTTAAAAGATCCTTTTAAGATACAGTAATGTGCTATTTTGTCCTGGATATACCTGTATATACATCTGAATGGATAAGTGTCTTGAGTCTTACATTTCTTTTAGTCTTTTCCTAAAAAATGTCCCAGAACTTTTGTAAATAGTGGAAAGCACTTTGGTCAAAGAGTCATCCCATAACAGTTGCTCAATGTCACTAGATTGAAGGGTAATTTGGCACGCACAAAATTGGAAATGAAAGGCGTGCCAAAATTGTAGGTATTTAAATAGATGGGTATTTGGCAGGTGGTTCAAAGTATTAAGCTCATCAAAGGTTAAAAGGGTCCCATGCCTGACCACATAACTGGATCAGGGTAGGAGTACAAGTGCCCTTAGGTAAGATTTTTCTATAGCTGAATATGTGGGGGATATTGTGAGGGGAGCATGAGTGGTCTACCCACAGACAGTACCCCAGGTCGTGAGAACAGAGTGCATAGAACAAGTCAAGCTATAGGGAGACTTCAGACCTAATCAAATGAGTTAAGGCCTAGTAAGATTTCAGAATGGCCACCTCAAGGGACACTGCAGAGTTGACAAACGGGGTTGTTAGCCAATTATGAGCAAACACCAATTTTCTCTCTAAAAAGTAGTTAAACAATTGGGCATCTTTAATTCATCCCCCTGCCAAGGCTGCTATAAGATTTCCTTTTTGAAGCAAGGATTCCCACCCTGCCATAGGAAATTGGGCAGCAGTTTATCTATGTATTTAAAGCATATCTAAAGGTTCTTTTTTTCCTAAATAACAAACATGTCATACTTGCCTGCTGTGTGCAGTGGTTTCGCACAGAGCAGCTTGGATCCTCCTCTTCTCTGGTCCCTCTCTCTTCATTGGCTGACTGGCCAATGGCTCCAGTTGGCTGTCTTAGCCAATGAGTAGGCAGAAACCACGGGGCAGCCGAGGCTGTCATTCAAATCGCTGGATCGCGATGAGGCTCAGGTAAGTATTGAGGGGGCTGGGGGCACTGAAGCACACAGAAGGTTTTTTACCTTTATGCATAGAATGCATGATGTTAACAAAACCTTCAGCCTTTACAACCACTTTAAGACATGTTTGGGGATCCACACTGGGGAGTTCCGAAAAACATAGAGGAAGAAGAGGAGAATTTTCATTTTCACTGAATTCATTTTACCAATTAACGAGTGGGAAACTTCACTTCTGTCTAGTACCCATAGACACTGGAATGGAAGCAGACACTTGCCCATTTGTTTTGATGGCTGCCACAGGACGGTCATATAAAAGAGCTATCCATTTAAACAACAATGGACCACACCCCATACAATTTAAAAAATGTCTCACAGATGTCCAGTCAATAGAATTGAAAGCCTTTTTAGGGTCCAAGAACACTATAATCCCTCCACTAGAAACATCTGGGCTGGGTATGTGTGAACACTCTACACAGGTTAATATCTAGCTTTTTTGAGGCATGAAAATCAGTTTGGTCAGAAGAGACTAAGTAATGAAGGACCGTAGTGAGTCTAGTGGCTAACATTTTAGTGAGGGGATCTTTATCTGGTTTGGGTAATAACACCACATGAGCTTTATAAAAGGAGGGAGGTAGCATGCCAGCATTTAAGGACAAGCTGGATGAATTAATACATGAAATAGAGCACTCAATCAGCCATGACAATACAAACTGCAACCCTAACATATGAGCTCACCATTACAAGGCAAACGACACAGGGAATATAACTACACTAAAACCTATACAAAACAACAAAACCATTTAAAAGTCTATAATGCCTTTAGGTATCTTGGACTACAAAAAATCTGATATCAATGTTTGTAGAGATGCAGTGAGCAGGAGGGTTTGCATAGTTTAGCAAAAGACAACTGAGCAGGGCTGACACCATTCAGTCCAAAAAAATGCTGTGTGTTGGTAGTCTGCAACATGCATTATTCTGTACTTGCAGTTTCTTTAAATGTGTAAAATGTGTGAAAATCTGCATGTGTTGTAGAGATGTACTGAATGTTATTTTTTTCTAAGGGGGTCATAGAAAAAAGTTATATAATATCTCATCATTCTTAAAGTTTTGGCTTTGAATGGAGGGAACTCATACCAAACAGTTATCACCTATTTAGGAGTATTATTGTCAAAAAAAAGTTTGATATTTATTTTTATTTGAGACTGTGCCTAGTTGAGAATCATATCAAATACGATAACATTCACATAGAAAAAAACAAATTAATGTGGAGGAGTAGTTTTTGAGTGGGATGGGTGCATTTACATTTAATTCCCTTCAAACTAATACTGTACCCCAATAAATGACAAGTACATGGTTCAAAAGTGACTGAATTATAGCTAAGGTCAGAAAATGTACTTTATTCAGTGTTGTATCATAATCAGACCTCTGATGATATATCCGCTTGTGCTGAAAATGCTGATGTTTCACCTTGGTGGCTGTGAAATATTAGCATTGCAAGTGACAAGGCTCTTCTTTTTTGATGCTTATTTTATATGTGAATTGGCCTCACAGCACATAAATTTGAGGCATTGCTCAAAGTTAGTTTAGCTATTCCATATCTCATGGGAGGAAGCCTGGCAAAAAGAGTTTGGCTTGCTTATATTTCTTTTATAATTTTGACCTTTTTAAGTAAAGGTTATATGCACTTTACAACAAAAGCATTGTCTCAGTATGCTGTTTCTCAATACTATTTGGCAGGTTTCCTCTTTGACTAATGCACAGATCCACCTTTCACATTTGTTACATCTCTTCCCTGCAACCTGGTGATTTTGATCAACAAACTTTAGTTTGATTTTTATCAAAGTATATTTTTCTCTCAGTGATTAATGGAACACATTTCTTGTGGATAACAAAAAGATATTCAGCTGGATACTTCCCTTTCTGTACATCATCTACATTGTATAACTTTGGTGTAAATACATTTCACATTTAAATTGCAGATTAGTTTACACTTTAGAAATTGTATCCTATAAATGTCAAGCAAACTTTAAAATAATAAAATTTTGCATGGTTTATGTTTCACTTAAGAGTACCTTTTGCCATATGACAAAGAAGGTCAGAAGGTGATGAGATTATCAAACTTTACCTATGTATATAGCTGTGCCACATGTGGTTTCTTAACTTATGTTTCTTCTGCTGCTCACAACATGGGTCTATATGAATCACTGCAAAAATGTCAGGAGGATATAATTCCATAGTATTTGCTGACCAATTGGCAAGAATGGGTTGCACAGGGATGATTGACATGTAAAGGAACAGATGTAAGTGTCAGGAATGGACTTTCCAGTGGGTGGTGGGATTCACCTGCCTTGTGGGCTGCAGTACCAGGGCTGGCCAGCGGGTGCTCTCAGCAACCAGAGGCTCACTCCTGCAATGAGCCATCACCTGAAGCTGATTACAACAGGTGTATTTAAGGAATGGCCAGGCCTGTGATCAGGGCCTTGGTGTATGTTTCCCATGAGCCCCTGTACCTGCATCCTGTCTGCTTCCTACCTGATCCAGATTCTGCTTCGATCCCTGACTCTGCATGAACTGCGCCTGTCCTGACCTCGGCTATTCCTGACTACTCTTCCGCCTGCTCCTTGTGCCCTGCCTGCCCGTTTTCTACCGACCCGGCCTGCCCGACTACGCTTAGTATTGTTTCTATTGTTATCTGTTGGAGGTTTGGGTTGGTTTGTTTGCACTGTGTTTTTGTTTAGTCTTGCACTGCGTTTATGTTTTGTTTTAGTTGTCTTATTCACACTATACCTGAAGTCTGCGTTTCCCTGTGTCAGTCCACATATTTCTGGTCATTCCCGGATCCCTAACAGAACACCAAGGCCATTCCTGACCAGAAGTGGCTGCACAGGGAAGCCATCTTGGCTTATTGTTGTTGGGAAGGATGCATCTTGATGAGGTGATATATTTGTCTCTGCTAGTCTTTGATGACAGAGATTATGCTTATCAGACTCTGAAGGAGTATACCAGGGATCAACTACTAGAATGCATAAGGATCGCTCATTGCCTAGTAGATCAGGGCACAGAGTTCTCTGAGGTGCAACCATTGATTCAGGTTTGTGCAGAGTTGGCTTCATCTGGTACCCCCGAATGCAAGGATGAATTTTTGCCGCCATTTAGTGCCGACCCAGGTAGAGTCCCTGCTGTGGTTATTGGAGGATGATGTGGATTACTTCTTGGAGCGTTATTCTGCATGTTCACAACAGGTGCTAAGAGATTGTATAAACGCAGTGCAGTCTTTGACCAGACAGGCTTTGTGTAAGCTGAGCTTTGTTCAAGCCATACTGCAGACATGGTCAGACTTGTTGCACCCAGCCTCAGTCAGCTTGCAACGTCATTCCTCTGCTCAAGGCATTCTTCCTGCATCCCTGACAGCACCCCAGTGACAGCCCAGTATACTCTGCTAACTACCACATATCAGTCCCCTGCTCCCACTCGCTGCACTTATCCTATCTTTAACCCTGTAAAGAAGTCCTCTGTAGCAACTGCTCCCTCCTTTGTTCCATCCCTCAGCTCTTCTCTGCCTACAGCTGCTCTATCCACTTACAAACCTGCGCTTACTTCCTGCGCTCTCAGTAACTAAAGCCAGGAAAAAGCGAAAATTCTTTCCAACCAATACCATCCTGCCAGTATCCAAACCGGTCAGCCTGCCGTCTGAGAACCCGCCTTCCATGATTCAGTCTGATCCCCGATTACCCAGTGTACCCTACCCAGCTTGATGTGTCTACCCAGCCTGATGGTCCTATTATGCCATTTGACTCGGCGCCCGCTGTCGAGCATGGTGACCCAGTGCCCGCGGTTCTGCTAGATGGCTCGGTGCCCGCTGTCGTGCCAGATGGCCCAGTACCCGCTGCCTTGCCTGCTGCTTCGCCTGATGGCCCGGTGCCCGCTGCTCTGCCTGATGGCCTGGTGCCTGCTGCTCCGCCTGATGGCCTGGTGCCCGCTGCTCCGCCTGATGGCCCGGTACCCGCTGCCTTGCTTGCCTGCTGCTCCGCCTGATGGCCCGGTGCCTGCTGCTGCTCCACCTGATGGCCCAGTGCCCGCTGCTCTGCCTGATGGCCCGGTGCCCGCCTGAGTGCTTCGCCTGATGGCCCGGTACCCGCTGCTCCGCCTGATGGCCCAGTGCCCGCTGCCTTGCTGCTGCTCCCGCCTGATGGCCCAGTGCCCACTGCTCCGCCTGATGGCCCACTGCCCGCTGCTCCGCCTGATGGCCCGGTGCCCGCTGCCTTGCCTGCTGCCCAGCCTGATGTGCCTCTGCCTGCTGCCCAGCCTGCCGTGCCTCTGCCTGCTGCCCAGCCTGACGTGCCTCTGCCTGCTGCCTAGCCTGACGTGCCTCTGCCTGGTGTATGTTTCCCATGAGCCCCTGTACCTGCATCCTGTCTGCTTCCTACCTGATCCAGATTCTGCTTCGATCCCTGACTCTGCATGAACTGCGCCTGTCTGACCTCGGCTATTCCTGACTACTCTTCTGCCTGCTCCTTGTGCCCTGCCTGCCCATTTGCTACCGACCCGCCTGCCCGACTACGCTTAATATTGTTTCTATCGTTATCTGTTGGAGGTTTGGGTTGGTTTGTTTGCACTGTGTTTTTGTTTAGTCTTGCACTGCATTTATGTTTTGTTTAGTCTTAATAAATTGTCTTATTCACACTATACCTGAAGTCTGCGTTTCCCTGTGTCAGTCCACACATTTCTGATCATACCCGGATCCCTAACAGTAAGTAACAGAGTTTGACATGTATACAACTTCCATTTTTTTCTTTTCCAAATCCCCAAAAGCTTAGATATAACATAAATTCCACTAAGACATCAGGGCTGCACAAAATCATGTATATACAGTATACATGATTTTGTATTTCTGGATAGGGGGTGCACATGCACCCTACCCACGCTGCCATTGGTGGCTACAGCTGTCGATCACCGGGTCCCAGCAAGAGATTCCCTTCCGCCACCCCGGTGATCGGCGAGTATCAAAGAAGAGGGAGAGGTCTGTGTGTAAACAATACAGATCTCTCTACTGTCAGCTCCAGCATGCTGCTTTGTATTGCTCTGCATAGCAAAAAAAAAATTCCAGTATATATACCATTTTTAGATGTTATAGCTTTGACGTAAACTGATTAATATACACGTGTTTGGATTTTTTTCGCAAAGAAATGTAGCAGAGAATACATTTTGACCTAAATTTATGACAAAATTTGATTTTTTTTTACATTTTTTACTGGATATGTTTTATAGCAAAAAGTCAAAAATATTGTTGGGTTATTTTTCAAAATTGTTGGGGTCTTTTTTTGTTTATAGTGCAAAAAATAAAAATGCACAGATGATCAAATGCCACCAAAAAAAAATCTTCATTAGTGGGAAAAAAGGAAATACATTTCATTTGGGTGCAGTGTTGCATGACTGTTCAATTGTCAGTTAAAACAACACAGTGCTGTAGCACAAAAAATGGCCTGGTCAGGAAGGGGAGTAAATCCTCTGGAGGGCAAGTGGATAATCGCCTATGCCTCTATTATTCCTGTGCCTGAAAGATATACACCTCCAAGTACTTAGGGAAATAGTTCATGCCTACACAAAACACATTGTATATCTAGAACTGTATCTCCTTTTATTGGACATTTCATTGCTCCTACATAACTGGAAGTCCTAGCAATTTTCCTTTTATGGATGGATTGTTTCCATTAAGATTAGTTTTCTCCTAGCAATTACAGAAACCTGGCTTAAAAGCAGCAGATTCTGCTTCTCCTGCAGCACTTTCCCATGGAGACCTCCACTGGACTCACTCACCCACACCCAGTGAACACAATGGAGACAGTCCTCCACTCACTCTGATGGGAATACCCTAGACCTTGTTTTTTCTCATCTTTGCACTCCCTACAACCTCACCAACACCCCCTTTCCTCTCTCTGATCACAATATTATCACCTTCACAGTGTCCTCATCTTCAAACACCTATCCCACCAAGCAGCAAACAATCACCCGCAGAAACCTTCACAACTTTAACCCTTCTCTTTTTTAGTCTGCAGCTGACCACCTCTATGACAAAATCTCTCCCCTGTCCTGCCCTGACCCGGCCACTTCTGTCTACAACAGTTAATTTTCTTCCATGCAAGACTCACTTGCTCCTCTAACTACACAAAGCATCAGGCCCTGACCATTAAAACCTTGGCAGACTGACGACACCATAAAAACTTAAGAGACATAGCCCATGCACTAGAGCGATTGTGGCATAAAACCAAATCCCAGCCAGCATTCCCTCGATATAAATCTGCTTTCTAAAAATACAATTTCTCCTACCTTGTCATCCAGTCCTCCTTGTCTCTTCTCCACCGCCACCTCCACTCAGTAACTCACTCGCTGCTTACGAGATTATCAATCATTTCAAATACAAGATTGATGAAATTCGTGAGGGTATCTCCACTGCACAGACATCTATCCCACTTAGCATACATTATACTAAACCTCCCTCAACACTTTCCTCTTTTGACCTTGCTACTACCGAAGAGGTCACTAAAGTTTTCTCAGTAGCCCATTTCACCACCTGCCCCCTGGATCTTGTTCCCTTAAAACTACTACAGTCACCTTCTTCTTCTATCCTATGCTCCCTCACAGGGGCGGACTGACCATTTGGAAACTCAGGCACTGCCCGAGGGCCCGGGGTCAGTAGGGGGCCCATGAGATGCCCTGGTACCTTTTACATAGGCTTTTTTGGAGTTTGGGCAAGGACACAGGGGCCCCATGATCCCCTATTGCCCGGGGGCCCCATGAGTTGTCAGTCCTCCCCTGCTCCCTCACTCACATCTTCAATCTCTTCCTCTCTACTGACACCTTCCACTCCCCCTCTAAAGCATGCACAGATGATTCCCATACTTAAAAAGCCCTCACTGGACCCCACCAACCTGAACAACTTAAGACTCATCTCCCTGCTCCCGTTTACCTCTAAACTCCTAGAACGCCTAGTCTACAATTGCCTGAGCTCCTACCTAGTTGACAACAACCTTCTTGACCCCTTTCCAGTCTGGTTTTTCTCTCACTCCACTCAACTCCACTGAAACTGCCCTACAAAAAACTCAGTGATGATTTACTAACTGCCAAAACCAATGGCCACTACTGGATATTCTTACTACTCAACCTACTGCAGCTTTTGATACTATTGACCATCCCCTCCTTCTTCAAAAACTGCACTCTCTTGGCCTCCAAGACTCTGCTCTCTCCTGGTTCTCCTCCTACCTATCACAGCACTCCTTCAGTGTTACGATAACACTGTCTCCTCCTCTCCACTTCCTCTTTCTGTAGAGGTCCCTCAAGGTTCTGTCCTTGGGCCCCTTCTCTTCTCCATCTACACCTCCTCCCTTGGCATCTGATAAATTCCCATGGCTTCAAGTATTTATTTTTTTTTATTTCAGGTACTTATATAGCGCAGCGCTTTACATATATATATATTGTACATTAATATTGGTCCCTAACCCTCAAGGGGTGTACAATCTAAGGTCCCTAACTCACATTCATACATACAAATACTACCATCTCTATGCTGTTGACACATAAATCTATCTTTCTATTCATCACCTCAACCCTTCAGTCTTCTCTCTCTTTACTAACCTACTAAGTGACATATCGGCATGGATTTCACTCCATTTCCTCAAACTCAATCTTCCTAAAACTGAGCTCATCACATCTCTAATATACGCCCATTTTTAACCACTAAAACCACTAAGCAACTTATTCACTCCCTTATCATCTCTCGCCTTTACTAATGCATCTCCCTCCTCATTGGCCTACCTAGTCGCAGGCTATCCCCTCTTCAGTCTGTCGTGATTTTGATTAATAAATTATTAAAGAAATAATCCTCAATAAAACCAGTTCTGAAATGTCAGCAGCTTTGAAAGAAACTAGTTGTCTGTCCTTAACAAGATACCACTTCAAACAAAAGACATTCACAATAAGTGACTGAATGCAGATGACCTATTTTACACTTAAGTCACCCAACACCTGACCTTAGAACCTGGCTGATATTGACCAAAAATCATAAATGGTCATTGTGGATACACAACCTCTTAACATATGAATGGCGAGAAGACAAGCCAAGACAATAGAAGGTCTTGGATATAGTTTTTCTCAAATTATTTTATTTACTAAGCAAATCCCTTAGTAGATGTTACCATTGTCCGTTCACTAAGAAGGATATAAGTTTGACGGGAATAGTGGCACCTATTATGTACAGAATCGTATTTTCTGCTGAAACGTCAACTGAATGTTTACCAATGGGACACAGACAATAGACAGCTAATCACACACTCCTCAATTATACATAATCCGTGAACTTTGCAACCAAGAGCAATATTCAGCTGACATATTCATAATATACAGTATACTATGACATTAGAATCAATTTAATAAATTTGGCAACTACAAAAGCATAAAAAAACAAACTGAAAGTCATAACGACATATGAGATGGATTGTGTTTTGGGTAGATTATTTCAGAGATATTAAAGCAAATGATTACCAACAGTACGTACCAACATTAGAGTGTGGAAAGATATGAGATATCTGATGCGATGGACTGAAGAACTGCACAAACATCATCTGATAAAATGCCATAACAAATTATGGGAATATTATCTTAATATCTACCATCTTCAGAACACTGGACATCCATAAAAATATAATTCTCATATAATAAAGATGAGGCGCAAAGTCAACTTAAACATATGGACACTATATAAAGGGATATCGATATTTCAGCAGGACATATATTTTATCAATAAAATCATGCATAAACTGGAAGATTATTCATAGCCACGTGATCACGTTCCCATTCATGGAATATGACTGCCTCTAGTGGACAGGTAAAGAAACTCCAGAATAAACGGCATCCTTGGCCATCCAATCGTCATGTACCATGGGAGGATCTAGTGGAATCTATACAGTATATATATTCAGGACAAGCGAAAGAGAAAAAAAAAAACATGCTTTGAAAAGAAGACTGCCTTTGAATAAAAAAACCATGCCTTTTGAAAACTTGCCTTTTGAATCATATGCCTTTTTGAATACTCTACTTTAAAAACAGATTGAAGAAAAATATGCCTTGAAATCTGATCTTGAAAAACCTTTTTGCCTGTTCGAAGAACTTATTTTTGACCAGAGAAGAATTTTTGCCTGCGAAGACAACTTTTGTTTATTTCCTGACGAGAAGAAGACTGCTGACAAGAGACAATATTTTTCACCAACCTGCTGTT